TGCTAATTTAAGGACGGAAAACCTGCTTTGCGTCGTGGCGCATGGTCTAAAAGGGTTGAGTTTATTATCTTAATGAGTTATAGGTGTGTTATGAGAATAAACCAATTAGAGTCTCATCTCCCATTCCCTTTAAGAGTCAGCTGCGTCGCGCCAAGAGCGCATTCACTATTTACAGGACGCAAAGTAAGTCTAAGTGGAAAAAATGAGCATTTCACTAGCAAACAGTTAACAGAAAACTGTTAAACAGAGCATCTACTGCGTGGGAATGAGAGATAATGGATCTACTTTCACTTTCGCTCTTGGATAGGGAAACCTTTACGCACAGACATCAATTACTCTATAAATAATTAATTTAGTTTGTTAAGCGCAAATATTTCGTTTCAAAACTATTTCTAAATTCAGTTCTAATTTCCAGCAAACGAATAAATGAACAATAATAATGAAGTGTGCTCAAAAACCTGAGTTATATCCTAAAACACATGCTGTGCCCCATATGGTCTAAAACCTGACAGGTGGGCAAATCTAAGCTTGTTTTTAATAAAACAAATATAAATATAATAAATAATACTGCTAATAATAACATTATACAAAAGCAAATTGTTATGAATGAACTGAAAAAGCCTCCCGAAATAAAGAAGACATAAAAGCAGTGGTTTTTCATATTTATGTAGGCTAGAAAATATGTTTAGTAATATTTTAATCCTTTATATTTATATTCTATATCTATTCTTATTATATCCTATATATATCCTTAATATTTACATTTTTTCATATGTAAAGATATTTGCCTATTGCTCTCTTGTGTGTATTAAGCAGTGTGTAAGTGAGGTGCAACTCTGCACTGGAGTTTAGACCGGGTTTGTTTTGGTCTAATGAAAAATCTATTATAGTTTCTCAAAATAGCAACGCGCCAGCGGTCCGCCTCAGAACGCCTTCCTTTTTAGACCAGAACACTTATGGGCGCAAAAATGAGCGCTAATGCATTTGCTATTTAAACATCGTAGCGCAAGGCCTCAAGACGACTCTAGCGCCAAGCTGAAACTACCAAAAGACTACTGCGCCACGCCTTGCGCCACACTGCGCCGGGTGTATGATAGGGCCCCACGTCTTTGTCCTGCCAAACCACGCTGAGGTGTTCTCACGAGGAAACGTAACTATTTTACGTTTTGTCAGTTTAGTGGCTAATTCGTAGGAGTTCAGTCATACGAACTACATGATTTTAAAAAGGAGGTGTGGCACTCAACCACACCCCTAAACCCAATCGTCTTTGGCGGATAAGCAAATCGCACTAAATTGTACGAATGAGATCGTATGAATTAGCCACTAAATCAAAAAGTTACGAATTGCCGCGAGGTCGTGTTGTCCTCTGGCTCCTGCTTTGTGTTTTATGATGATCGTATTAAAACAAAGAAAACAATCTGAAGTTGTTGTTTTTAAGTATACCATGATTTAACCGATCCAGCACACTTGGGAATAGATTTTCCACTGTTTTGGAGCATACTAGCTCATAGATATCTTAAAGACTTACAATACTGACATCTTTATTTTAATGTCATGGGACATTTAATGTGAATATTTAATAATGTTAGCAATTATTTTAGTTAATTTACAGAAAAAAAAATGTCTGTTTTGATAATCTTCAATTAAAATTTGACCATCTGCTTCCACTCGAATAGCAGTAGCTTTTCTGAGGATGTCGGTTCGACTGATTGGGGGCGAAATACATTTAGCTACGCCTCTCCAACTATTAGTTTGCTTCAAATAAAAGATGCTAGGAGCACAAAAAACCCCGCCCCCTATAATCAGTTCAGTTGGAAATACTAGGCCAATCACTGGCCAACATTTTCTTTCTACAAGCTTTATGTTAAGTAAAGCGTAAATTGTTACACGTTGGATCAGTGTTTTGTGTCTAATTATACGTTTGTGGTAAACAGTAATGTAATAAGCAGGATAATGTACATCCAGCAGGATCCACCCTCCTTTTTTATTAATATTTCCCAAGTGATGTTTAACAAATTCAGGAATTTTTTACAGTATTTCCTATAATATTTTTTCTTCTGGAGAAAGTCTTATTTGTTTTGTTTTGACTAGAAAAAAAGCAGTTTTTATTTTTATTTTTAAACCATTTTAAGATCAAATTTATTAGCCCCCTTAAGCAATATTTGTTTTCGATTAGGCTACAGAACAAACCATCATTGTACAATAACTTGCCTAATTACTCTAACTTGCCTAGTTAACCTGATTAACCTAGTTAAGCCTTTAAATGTCACTTTAAGCTGAATACTAATATCTTGAAAAATATATAGTTGTCATCGTAGCAAAGATAAAAAAAAATAATATTAATATGTTATAATAAAATAAGTTTAAATTAATAAATATATTATAATAAAACTAAGTTATTAAAAACTATTATGTTTAGAAATTGGGGAAAAAATATACAGGGGGCTAATAATTCTGACTTCAACTGTATACGGGTGCTCTTTCCTTAACCAAAAATGAAAACCGGCTCACTTTTTACTCTCTTTCAAGTGCTTTGAGTTTCTTTATTCTGTCGAACACTTAAGATGATATTTTGAGAAATGCTAAAATCCGGCAACCATTGACTTCCATAGTAAGAACAACAATGAAAGTCAATGGTTACAGGTTTTCAGCATTTTTTCTTTTTTTTTTTCTTTTTTTTTCATCTTTTTTTGTGTCAATGGAATAAAGAAACTCTTTAAAACAACAAAAAGGTTTAAAACAAGTAAAAAGTGATTAAATGATGACAGATTTGTCCATTTTTGGTGAACTTTTCCTTCAAAACAATGAATATATTACAAGTAAACACCTTTAACAGTACTTTTATTAAGTGGTTTATGCCTGTCAGCTTGTATATGTCCGACACTTCACATTGAAACACTTCAAATAATTTACTGTACATAATGGACAATAATATAGTATTTTACAAATCGTATCAGCGATCACTTTGACAACACAGACTGTTCACGAATAAAGATAATAAACATATACTGTACACATGACAAGACATTTTCTTATCAAATAATATTTCCAAACATATTTTATGCAACATGAATCAAACACATCAAAAAAATAAACAGTGCTTATAATATACAGTATTGTCCACCAATGTCTTTACAATTCTGCACCACTAGCAGCATCAAATGACGCGTCAATCAAACAGCTCAACCAGTAAACCAAAAGACTTTCTTTCTTTCTCCGTTCATTCGTTTATTTGTTTGTTCATTTATTTATTATTTCTGAGGAAACTAAAGTGATGCAGATTTACAGATTTCAGTGTATGACAGAGCTTATTCTTTTGGCGGTAAACCAAAAGTCTTTCTTTCTTTCTTTCTTTTCTCTCTTTCTTTCTTTTTTTTATTTATTTCTTCTTTCTTTTCTTTTTCTTTCTTTCTTTTCTTTTCTCTCTTTCTTTCCTCTCTTTCTTTCTTCGTTCTTTCTTCTTTCTTTTTCTTTCTTTCTTTCTTTCTTTTTTTCTCTCTTTCTTTTTCTCTCTTTCTTTCTTTCCTCTCTTTCTTTCTTCGTTCTTTCTTCTTTCTTCCCTTTTCTTTCTTTTCTTTCTTTCTTTAGTTCTTTTTCTTTCTTTTATTTATTTCTTTCTTCTTTCTTTCTCTTTTCCTTTCTTTCTTTCCTTCTTTCTTTCTCTTTCTTTCTTTCTTTCTTTTCTCTCTTTCTTTCTTTTTCTCTTTCTTTTATTTTTTTTCTTTCTTTTGTTCTTTCTTTCTCTCTTTCTTTCATTCTTTTTGTTCTTTCATTCTTCATTCTTTCTTTCTTCTTTCTCTTCTTTCTTTTGTTCTTTCTTTCTCTCTCTCTCTTTCTTTTTTTCTTTCTTTCTTTCGTTCATTCTTCTTTCTTTCTTTTTCTTTTCTCTTTCTTTCTTTCTTTTCTCTCTTTTCTTTTCTCTCTTTCTTTCTTTCTTTCTTTCTTTTTCTCTTTCTTTCTTTCTTTCTTTTATTTCTTCTTTCTTTCTTTTTCTTTTCTCTTTCTTTCTTTTGTTCTTTCTTTCTCTCTTTCTTTCTTTTCTCTCTTTTCTTTTCTCTCTTTCTTTCTTTCTTTCTTTCTTTCTTTCTTTCTTTCTTTCTTTCTTTTTCTCTTTCTTTCTTTCTTTCTTTTATTTCTTTCTTTCTTTCGTTCTTTCTTTCTTCTTTCATTCTTTCTTTCATTCTTTCTTTCTTTCATTCTTTCTTTCTTTCTTTCTTTCATTCTTTCTTTCTTTCATTCTTTCTTTCTTTCTTTCTTTTGTTCTTTTTCATTCTTTCTTCATTCGTCCGTTTATTCATTTATTATACCGAAGGAAACAAAAGTGATGCCGATTTACAGATTTCAGTGTATAACAGAGCTTATTCTTTTTGGCAGTAAACCAAAAGACTTTCTTTCTTCGTTCGTTCGTTCATTTATTTATTTATTGGTCACACTTTACAATAAGGTTCATTAGGTAATGTTAATTAATGCATTTACTAACATGAACAAACAATGAACAATACATTTACTGCTGTATTTGTTCATGCTAGTTAACGTTAGTTAATGAAAATACAGTAGTTCATTGTTAGTTCATGTTAACTCATGGTGCATTAACTAATGTTAACAAGCATGGACTTGAATGTTAATAATGCATTAGTAAATGTTCAATTATGATTAATAAATGCTGTACATGTGTTGTTCATGATTAGTTCATGTTAGTAAATACATTTACAAATGAACCTTATTGTAAAGTGTTACCGTTTATTTATTATATCTGAGGAAACCATAGTGATGTAGATTTACAGATTATCATGTAAAATCCTAAACGGAAGATATGGTGCAGCTGGTGGCACAGAAATGTCTAAGTGTGTCCACAATCTGTGCGTGTGTGTGTGTGTGTGTGTGTGTGTGTGTGTGTAGTTTTCTGATGTGTTTATATGCACAGAAAAGCCCCATGGGCGGGACACAGGAACAGAATTCCTCAGGAGTGACTCCACTTTACACAAAGGGAGGAAACACTGATGCTTACACACACACACACACTCTTGCAATATCATGAATTAACACAAGCCTCCCTCGTAATCGTCATCCTCCTGAGGTGCTGGTGGTCCTGCGCTGCCCCCTTGAGGAGGCGCAGGAGATTTCTTCTTCTTTCCTCCACCGCCGCCTGGCACCTTTAGAGAGATGGCCAGCTTTGCATACTGAACACACACAAACAACAGGTACTCATTTTACTACTCATTACTAACTCACCAATGTGCATATGTGATTTTAAGGTTTTTGGAGCATTTCAGTTTAGACAAAAGTTAACACATCCAAAATAAACGTTTGTTTTGACCTGTGTGTTTTATTTGTATTTATTATGTATATGTGATACACACACATACATAGAAATAAAACCGTTTTGTTACAAAGATATTAAAGTTTATATATATTTGCATCATACAGTTAAAGTCAGAATTATTAGCCCCCCTTTTTAATTTTTTTTCTTTTTTTAAATATTTCCAAAACGATATTGAAGAGAGCAAGCACATTTTTACAGTATGTCTGATAATATTTTTTCTTCTAGAGAAAGTCTGATTTGTTTTATTTCAGCTAGAATAAAAGCAGTTTTTAATTTTTTTAAACACCATTTTAAGGACAAAATTATTAGCCCTTTTAAGCTATATATTTTTTTCTTAAAACGTCACTTTAAGCTGTGTAGAAGTGTCTTAAAATATCTAGTCAAATATTATGGCAAAGATAAAAATAAATCAGTTATTAGAGATGAGTTATTAAACTTATGTTTAGAAATGTGTTGAAAAAATCTGCTCTCTGTTAAAAAGAAATTGAGGAAAAAAATAAACAGCGGAGCTAATAATTCTGACTTCAACTGTATATATATCTTATGCAGACAGGTCCATAAATATAGCGACATCGACATACTTCTAACATTTTTGGCTGAATGAACAAGATGTGCTTTAACTGCAGACTGTCAGCTTTAATTTCATGGTATTTACATCCAAATCAGATGAACGCTGTGGGAAATACAACAGTTTGCATATGTGCCTCCCACTTGTTAAGGGACCAAAAGTTATGAGACAGAGTAATAGTCATAAATCAAACTTTCACCTTTTAATACTTGGTTGCAAATTATTTGCAGTCAGTTACAGCCTGAAGTCTGGAAGGCATAGACATCACCAGACGCTGGGTTTCATCCCTGGTGAAGCTCTGCCAGGCATCTAATGCAACTGTCTTCAGTTCCTGCTTGATCTTAGGGCATTTTGCCTTCAGTTTTGTCTTTTGTCTGTGTCTGTCTGTCTGTGTCTGTCTGTCTGTGTGTGTCTGTGTGTGTCTGTGTGTGTCTGTGTGTGTGTGTCTGTGTCTGTGTCTGTGTGTGTGTGTGTGTGTGTGTGTGTGTGTGTGTGTGTCTGTGTGTGTGTGTGTGTGTCTGTGTGTGTCTGTGTGTGTCTGTGTGTGTCTGTGTGTGTGTCTGTGTGTGTGTGTGTGTCTGTGTGTGTCTGTGTGTGTGTGTCTGTGTGTGTCTGTGTGTGTGTGTCTGTGTGTGTGTGTCTGTGTGTGTGTGTCTGTGTGTGTGTGTGTGTGTGTGTGTGTGTGTGTGTGTGTGTGTGTGTGTGTGTGTGTGTGTGTGTGTGTGTGTGTGTGTGTCTGTGTGTGTGTGTGTGTGTGTGTGTGTGTGTGTGTGTGTGTGTGTGTGTGTGTGTGTCTGTCTGTCTGTCTGTCTGTCTGTGTGTGTGTGTGTGTATATATACATACATATTTATATATACATACATACAGTTAAAGTCAGAATTATTAGTCCCCCTGAATTATTAGATCGCTTGTTTATTTTTTCCCCAATTTCTGTTTAACAGAGAGCAGATTTTTTAACACATTTCTAAACATAATAGTTTTATTAACTCATTTAATAACTGATTTATTTTATCTTTGCCATGATGACAGTAAATGATATTTGACTTGATATTTTTCAAGACACTTCTATACAGCCTAAAGTGACGCTTAAAGCTTTACTAGGTTAATTAGGTTAACTAGGCGGGATAATTAGGCAAGTTATTGTATAACGATGGTTTGTTCTGTAGACAACCGAGAAAAAATATAGCTTAAAGGGGCTAATAATTTTGTCCCTAAAATCGTGTTTAAAAAAATTAAAAGCTGCTTTTATTCTTGCCGAAATAAAACAAAAGATAATAAAAAAAATATTATCAGACATACTTTGGAAATCTCCTTGCTCTGTCAAACATAACTTGGAAAATATTTTAAATAGAAGAAAAAAATTGAAGGGGGCTAATAATTCTGACTTCAACTATAT